GGGCTTGCTTCTTATTATTTTCTGTTGGGCTCACTATTTCCTATTTTTAGCTGGGCTTGCTATTAATATTTTCAGTCGGGTTCACTATTTGTATAATCAGCTGGGCTCACTATTTCCTATTTTTATCTGTTTGTCTGCAGGCTTCCAGCCCCCACAACGAGATTGTCAGCTGCTGGCAGCGACAACAAGGCTCGTGTATCCACCAGCGCAAACAACAGGCGCAGTCAGAGCTTCAACAACTTTGATAAATCCAAATCTGCTCACAACCCAGCGGCAAGTAATGAGAAAGGTACAACTGTTATCACTTGTACATTCGCATTCTAGGTGCCAGTTAGGTGCTGCTTGACTTAGGCGTGCCTCAGTTTAAACTCCCCACCCCGTGTACGGACATGAGAGCTGGAGGACGTTAAGTGCAGCCCTAAGGGAGTAAATGCAAACTTGTCAATGCAATGCTGCCTTTTGGATGAACAACAATTAAGTCCTATCTCCTTGCTCAGGCACATTAACAGCTGCTGTTGCACAATTCAAAGCAAGGATAGAGAACTTTTCTTTAATCATGTAGAAGGCGCTGGAGAAGCTCTGCAGATCTGGCAGTGGAGAGAGAAACAGAGTTAACCTTTCGAATCCAATAGCTATTTTTCAGTACAGTTCCAATGAAATGTCATACTGGACTTGAAGCATTAACTGTTTCTCTCTCCACAGATGCTGTCCTATCTGCTCAGATTTTACAGCACTTTCTGCTTTTATTTCAGATCTCCAGCATCTGCCAGTATTCCACTTTTCGAATAGAAGACTGTTGTTCTGACCAATTAATATTCTTCAACCGATACCATTGTAACAGATTGTCTTATCTTTGTTTGTTTGTTTGTTTGCAAACGGTGGAGCCTTTCTGAGTGCAGTTTGTTTGCTACATATTTTTGTCAAGTTATTTTGGCTGCATTGACAAGTTTGCATTCGCTGTTAGTCTTTCATTCCTGATAAAAACAATAGGAGTTCATGACAAAAAAAAGTATTGAAAGAACTGCGCTTGCTGGAAATCTGAAACAAAAACAGAAATTGCAGGAGAAACTCAGCAGGTCTGGCAGCATCTGTGGAGAGGGAAACAGAATTAACTTTTCGGGTCCAATGATCCTTCTTCAGAACTTTTGGAGTTCATGAAATATTTTGGACATACTGAGGATGTGGAGAAGGTTTTAAAAGTTGAAGTTGAAACTATGCTCTGGACTTTGGTTTTCTGGCTGGGAGCATAAAGTTGGGAGAATTCTGGGCTCTGCAAGCCCAGTGCAGGAGAATGCACCCAGGAAGGGGTGGGGGTATGGGCGGCAGTGGCTATGGCTGAGTCTTAGGAATTCTGGTGGACAACCCTGCAAAAGGTGCAGGGGTGGGGATGGAAATGGATTGGTTACAAAGCAACGAAGAAAGAAATAGGGTAACTGACAACCTCTTGTACTCATCACTCATATCCACTACCCCACTATACTACATTCCCCATCTGCCAGCCATGCAACTTCATAGTCACAACTCACCCACTGTCCCTCGTAGCTTCCCAGCCAACCTATACCCCATGGTCCTTGTGCCAAATGAGAACCAACTCAGGCCAACCCATCCCAACACCGTTTGCATTTCTCTTACCATGTTAACCTGTCCGTCATGGCCAAACCTCAGGATGTATGCTGAGATTAAATAAACTTGTATCAATTAATGAGCTCACTATTTTGAAATGAAACACTCTCATTGATAAAATCTCATTTCCCTATAACATTTAATCACTTTATAAGTTAATCTTTGAATTAATAGTCCCACTTCAAAGAGTTTATAACCACTTGGAGCTGTCAAACTATGAACTGACAGGCACCCCACTATGATAATGAAAAGCTGTGAAATCAGTTATCCAGAACTAATCCTGGAATGATAACTCCTAGCTTACGACAGTGGAAAGAGTGAAATAGAAAGTACTGACTTTTTTCGCAATGCCGACAGTTTATTGTTTCAAATATTCAAGGTCATGGTTTTAAATGCCTTGCTAGCTTAAGAGCTCCTTTTGAGAGGTCTATTGACAGTTCAAATGAATGTATGTGTTTCTTTATACACATGCATGTCTACTTTTAACAATCCCAAAGGGTACTTAGCCCATTCAAAAGGATACCTCTTGCTGCTAAATGTGTCCTGGGACCATATCCCAAAGGCTATCATACCACTTTAAAGCGATACCTCCCTTCTCCAAAGAACTCTGTCAGCTATTGACCTTCTCCTATTGGGTGCAAAGTGTACAAGCTGTGTTTTGGGTATCTCACCACCGAAAATAAGTTCAGTCCAAGACAGCAGCACTTTATGTGCAAGTTAAAATCCAACCCCATTCTCCCTGCAACATCCCCCATCCCTTGCAAAAAATAGTAGGTGCTGAGCTTGGGGGCTATACTTTGGGCCTCCATTGCTATGTTTGTAATTGTACAAACACTCCCTGTCTACATACAAAGTCCAGGTGTGGGTTTTAAAGCTTCCCTCATCGCATTTGGATTTTAAGTTTTGTGATTATAAATAACTGATTTAGAGAAAGCAAAAAGGCAAAGAAATAAAGCGAGAGACAAACGCTGAATTCAAACTGAGCCAAAAATTCCATTCAAGTCTTCCAGTGTAGAGAGTTCCGATTTTTGGTGCCCAGTTTGTACTGTGTTAGCTGATTCCATCTGTTTCTTTGATGCAGCTAAGACAGTTGACCTTGTCACGATGGAGTTGCCAACTCACTTGAATGGCCCAGGACTCCCCCAGAATGGGACATTGGCCTCCTGGATCCTGCAAAGTGTTTGCACTTCCTTTGAAAGGGAAACATCTGCTGATTTTCATTTCTCCTGTGACCCCTCCTGGAAATGCACAAGGGGGATCTTAGCATGGGGAGAGTGCTGAGCTTAGCTGTGTTCTGTCTGTTGTCAAGTATTTGCCTAAACCCAGTGACAATTCCCACATATGTAAAATTGACACTTGTACAAGGTTTCCCTGATACCATGGGAATGTATTTCAGGCAAAAGTCAAAGGCTCCAATGAAAGGAAAATTTATATTTGGCGAGGAACTGCAAATGTAATACATTGTCTGCATATAATATGTGTGAAGAAGTGGAAAGTATTTGCAGTGCACTTTCCTAAATCACCGAATGTGAGAATTGTAACAAGCCAGAAAAAGGCCATTTGGCCTATTGTATCTGTGTCAGCTCTCCAAATGAGCATTTCACCTAGTGCCATTCATTTGCCTTCTTTCCATAATCTTGCACTTTCTTCTTAACAAATAACAGTCTAAATCCCTTTTAAAAGCTTAGATTGAATCTGCCTCCACCACATCTTCAGGCAGCATCCTAACCACGTGCACTGCGATAAGGGTTTTTCTCATATTACCTCTGCTTCTTTGACCAATTCCTTTAAACGTGTGTTCTCCCACTCGCAAGTTTCTTTCTCCCCGTTTGGTCTATCTAGACCTCTCATGATTTTGAGAACCATACAGTACAGAAGAGTCTGGACTTACAAAAATACACTACTACCCCTCTGGCACTAGGCTCATAGCCATGAATGTTATGACACTTCAAGTGCTCACCCAAGATCTTTTAAAATGTTGTGAGATTGCCCACCTCAAATACTCTCCCGACCCTATCAGATCTCCTCTCCACCTTCTCTTCTCCAAGGCAAACAGTCCCAGCTTCTCCAATCTATCTTTGTAACTGAAATTGCTCATCCCTGGAATCACTGTCCAAACCACTTCTGCACCCTCTCCAATGCGTTCACATCCATCTTAAAATGCAGCATCCAGAATAGAGTCATTGAGTCATTTAGCATGGATATAAAACCTTTGGCCCAACTAGTCCGTGCTGACCAAGTTTCCCAAACTGAACTAGTCCCACTTGCCCGTGGTTGGCCCATATCCCTACAAACCTTTCCTAACCATGTACCTATCAAAATGTCTTTTAAATTTGTAACTATACCTGCATCTATCACTTCCTCTGGCAGTTCATTCTACATACTAACCACCCTCTGTGTGAAAACATTGCCCCTCAGGTCCCTTTTAAATCTTTTTCCTCTCACCTTAAAAATATGTTCCCTAGTTTTGAACTCCCCCAACTAAGGGAAAAGACCTTTGCTATTCACATTATCTATGCCCCTCATAATTTTATAAACCTGTATAAGGTCCCTCCCTCAACCTCCTATGCTCCAGTGAAAACAGTCCCAGCCTATCCAACCTGTCCCTATAGCTCAAAGCCCCCAGTCCCCGCAACGTCCTGGTAAATACTTTCAGAACTCTTCTTCAATTCAATAATATCCTTCCTATAGCAGGGCAACCACAACCATACACAGTACTCCAAAAATGGCCTCTCCAACGTCCTGTACAGCCTCAACATGATATCCTAACTACTATACTCAATGGTCTGAGTAATGAAGACAAGAGTGCCAAACATCATCTTAACCACCCTATCTACCTTTCTTTTTCTTTATTCATTCATGGGATGAGGAAGTTGCTGGTTAGGCAGCATTTATTGCCCATCCCTAATTGTTAAGAGTCAACCACATTGCTGTGGGTCTGGAGTCACATGGAGGCCAGACCAGGTAAGAATAGCAATTTACTTCCCTAAAGGACATTAGTGAACCAGATGGATTTTCCGACAATCAACAATGGATTCACGGTCATCATTAGATTCTTAATTCCAAATATTTTTTATTGAATTCAAATTCCACCATCTGCTGTGGCAGGATTCAAACCCAGGTCTCCAGAACATTATCTGGGCCTCTGAATTAACAGTCCAGTGATAATACCACTAGGCCATCGCCTCCCCTTGACACTATCTTCAAAGAACTATGTACCTAAAACCTGAGGTCTCTCTGTTCAACAACAGGGCCCTATCATTAATTGTGTAAGTCCTGTCCTGAAGAAGGGTAATACCTGAAACGTTGACTTCTCCTTTCCTCCAGATGCTGCCTGGTTTGCTGTGGTCTTCCAGCCTCCTGTTTGTCTATCCTGCCCTTGTTTGTTCTACCAAAATGCAATACCTCGCATACGTACAAATTAAACTCGATCTGCCACTTCTCAGCCCATTGGCCCATTTGTTCAGATCTCTTTGTAATCTTCTTCACTGTCAACTACACCACCAATTTTAGTAAATCCTGGTAAATCTTTTCTGAACCCTCTCCAATTAAATAAGATCCTTCTTATGGCAGATTAACCAGAACTGTACAGAATACTCCGTCTGGGGCCAAACTAGTGTCTTATACATGTACATTGTAGCTTCTTTGCTCTTCCATACTATGCCC